TTATTAGGACCCCGTATTTTTATCAGCTGCAGCTTAACTGTACTACCAAATTCATAAGCTATACTCCTACTCCTTCTACACACATAATGGCTAAGATAACCTTCTCACTTCTTTTCCCCCTTCCTTCCCCATACCCCGACCCCGCCTATTGTCTTTCTTCTTAATTCCAAACCATTATCAATTTATACTCCTTGCTATCAGCTTAGTCATACCTACAATTATCTACACTCATTTATCATCTGCTTCACCTTTTTCATTTTTGGTTTCTGACGTTTCTTCTTCCAAATTAAACCCGTGAAGGTCCGAGTTAGAATGAGCCTTCAGTAACCCATGCTTGTCTACCCGTGAAGGTCCGAGTTAGAATGAGCCTTCAGTAACCCATGCTTGTCTACCCGTGAAGGTCCGGGTTAGAATGAGCCTTCAGTAACCCATGCTTGTCTACCCGTGAAGGTCCGAGTTAGAATGAGCCGTCAGTAACCCATGCTTGTCTACCCGTGAAGGTCCGGGTTAGAATGAGCCTTCAGTAACCCATGCTTGTCTACCCGTGAAGGTCCGAGTTAGAATGAGCCGTCAGTAACCCATGCTTGTCGTAAGAGGCGACTAACGGGATTGGGTGGTCAGGCTCGCTGGCTTGGTTAACATATGTCATCGGTTCCCAATTGCGCAGATCGATGCTCATGCTGTTGTTCACTGGGTTGTCTGGTCCAGACTCGATTATTTACAGACGCCGCCATATATTTATTATCATGTTTGTAGCCGTTTTCATTCAAAATTCACTTAGGTTAACACCCCATCATTTACATTTTTGGGGTATGGCGGTTTATCCCTTATTATAAACATATTAATTATTACTTTAGCTCCCACCTACCCTGTCGGCGTTATTGGCTACAGCCAGAAGCTGACGTTAAACTCATAATCATCATCATATGTAGTCACTAGGCACTTAAAACATTAGAAGTAATGCCATGGAACAAGTTATCTAACTACAGTATGACGTGATATTGTATAGTAGATGATTTGAGAATACAGAAGCACTGAAAAAGCATCGTTTTTTACCACCAAGGGCATAACACTAGTGACCCAGTTCAGGATCGAGTGATGACTGAAAATGTCAAAAATGACACTTCGCAACAATCTGCGAATGATCCAGAGTTCTATCATTTTTATGTGATATGGCTTCACAGAACAACACAAAGGTACTACCTTGTGTTGGAAACTGTATCTGACATACTGCTTCAATGATACACTCATTCATTTACAACCTCCAAAACATGAATTCTGATCGAAATTAAACATTCTCGCCCATGGGCCACTGTTCGCCCATGGGCGAGCGAGTTTAAATTTCAAGTTTTAGATAACATTTTTTTTCATTTTTTCATCCTTGGCATATATTCATAACAGCTGCATGTTTAATTTGGTCAAATCCCTTGTCAGAAAGTGCCCACAGTGCGGAGAGTTTCTGGACTTTTGTGAGTCCAGAATTAAATTGACACGTTGTTATTCTAAAAGATGAAGAACTATTTCCATTTGCGTAGTTATTGTTTGTTTACACTTGGTTGTACAGCTCCACGCGCTGTCATCTGAGCCCTGCGGAGAGTTGGCGACAGAATCACTTTGAGTGAGTGAGTTTCGTTTTACGACGCACTCAGCAATATTCCAGCTATATGGCGGCGGTCCGTAAATAATTGATCTACGCAACTGGGATACGATGACATGTGTCAACCAAGCCAGCGAGCCTGACCACCCGATCCCGTTAGTCGCCTCTTACGACAAGCATGGGTAACTGAAGATCAATATTCTAACCCGGATCTTCACAGGGTACGACAAGCATGGGTTACTGAAGATCAATTCTAACCCGGATCTTCACAGGGTACGACAAGCATGGGTTACTGAAGATCAATATTCTAACCCGGATCTTCACAGGGTACGACAAACATGGGTTACTGAAGATCAATTCTAACCCGGATCTTCACAGGGTACGACAAGCATGGGTTACTGAAGATCAATTCTAACCCGGATCTTCACGTGTGAATGACTTTGAAGACTTTGACACAACAGTAAAATAAGCCAGTCTATTCTCATTACATAATATACGCGTCTGCTAACAAATAAGCTTAGTCTGGTCACGTGATATATGCAAATTAGTTTTTGCAGCCATGTCATGCTAAGTCCTCGTTACGCCCGAGTGTAGTGAAGCCCTTTGTTTCCGGTTGGATGAAGAGACTTCCGGTCTTAATCATGCGGCCAAGGGGCGGTTGAGTAGTCAATCTCCTAACCGTCACGTCGACCCCCTACTTTTATGAAGCTATTTTCTGCTTCCCCTGACGTGACATTACTGAAAGCGGCGTGCTGTGGAAAAATTTCAGAACATAAAACTGAAATCTGTGCCCAACTCAAACAAGTTAAACAGTTTCAAAGCTGTTGTGCAGCTCTGCCAACACGAGTACAAATTTTGGAGACTGGGAAAACTAAAAACTCACAGAATTTACATCAGACGGGGAAAACACGAGGAGCGAACAGTCTTAATAATTGCATATAACTTCACATTTTACGTTATTGTATTGAGAATATGTCACAGTCGGGACACTGAGCATATTAAAAAGCTAATCATCGTATACACTATAATGTATTAGTTCCAAATAGAACATTACACAAACCTTTCTAAAAGTTTTTATCTTATCCCATATTTGTTTACATTTAGGAAATGTAAAGAATTATGTTATCCCAACCGACAAGCATCATGTTATGTGGTGATTAGATTCATATACACGCTTTAAAAATCTTGTCACCCAGATACGAAATCTCACTGAGGACAAAAAGTCAGGCTGACATTTCAGCTAATCTGCGTCGAACCTTTTTATGATTGATTGAAGCTTCGAACAAGCAAATGTCATGTCGGCATCTTGGAAAAGTGTGTCGTCGGAATGTTTCGAGTAAGGCGCTGACATCGTTTTGTGCTCAATCTAAAGGTTGTATCGAGAGGGGTTTGAGTGCAAAGATCAAAATCGGGAAATTAATTCAATGAAGGCATAGATCCCATTGCCTCGTACTGACCGAAGTACGCTGAGGGTTCAGATCATTATGTGTCTAGAGTGAGTATGGTTTTACGCCGCTTTTAGCAAACTTCCAGCAAGGAGGGGCGCACCAGAAATGGGCTTCGCACATTGTACCCATGTAAAGAATCGAACCTGGGTCTTCAGTGTGATGAGCGGACGTTTTAACCATAGGCTACCCCACCGCCCCATAGATCCAGCTCAGACACGCCTGGATATGATACAACGATGCTGAAGACGACAATGATGAAATACACAATAAAAGAATAAATACTTTTTATTTACTCGGTGCCAAACTCTTTGTTCGTCAAATTATAATTTACAAATTGAGTAATGTTCCCTAAATATTTAATCAACACAGGCATCTTTGAAGTAAATAAAGTCAATATAACAAAAAGAGGACAATTGCATGCCTCGCAATGGTAAATACTATTGTCGTCATGAAAACCTAAAAAGCATTTGTTTCGAAAATCTTAAATCACCAGTTCACCACCTGACAGATACCAAGTTTGGTGAAGAGAGGGTGTGCCTTTTTCATGATTGTTCTAAATATATTTTATTCAGAGAGAAAAGGATTAGAAACAAGTTCTCAAACTTACAATACCCTCTCCTTGGTATGTACAGATTTAGATTCCCTCAACTCTAGATGACAGATTGTGGACAAGAAAGTAGTAATAGGAAAAAGAGATAGAGTTTATACAGAATAATATCGATATGCTCATTTCATGATATGATCCGGGAGTGAGTGAGTGAGTTGGGATTGACGCCGCTTTTAGCAATATTCCAGCAATATCACGGCGGGGGATACTTGCCACATTGTGCCCATGTGGGGAATCGAACCCGGGTCTTCGGCGTGAGGAGCGAAAGCTTTAACCACTAGGCTACCCCACCGCCCAATATGATCCGGGAAGCTTGCATACACAGGCGGACGGACTGACGATGTACATTGTAATACACCGACACTCTCCGTAAAACGAATTGCGGGGATAACAGCAACATTCCGCTCATAATGACCCCACACACCGGCACTGTCACCTTCCAGTTATTGAGGCGAAGTTTCTACAAAGTCCTGCATTTCAGGGTTTAAATAACTAAACTAAAAACATATCAAACATTTAAAGAACTAGTGTTGGGAATTGGTTAAAATCTCATAATTGATGATTGGTTTATTACAACCGATCAATCATCGAAAAAAATTGGTTAGCGTCATTAATGAAATTTGTTAATGCACATAAAAATAAGAAAATAACATGTAGTTCTTTTGGTTTTTTGGCAAAATTTCACATATTTAAAGGATGACTAGTATGTCAGGAACATAAATGTCTTGGAGTCTTTAAGATAAATTCAATCATGACTTGAAACGAACTTGTAGTGCTTATGAAATGTAACAGACAAAACCAACCTTGTGAAAAATATTGTTTATGAAAACAAGTCTTTCAGAATTGTTTGTGTTCGATTATGAGAAAACATGATCGAATGCTTGGTCGTTTAGTCACTGCGACCAATCTTCGATTATTTCAATTAATCGGACCAACACTATAAAGAACCACTGGACTAAAGCCAACAACAGATAGAAATGCATGTACTTTCTATTCCAACATCTATAAGGTCATATTTCAGTTTCCTATAAGTCCCAAAGAAGTTTTAGGAAACTGATACAGACAGAAAGATAAAGAACTAGATCAGAATGTTATATCAACCAATCAATTTAAGGAGAAACAAAACACAATTCTCATCATAATGCAAAATATTCATTCACACGTTTCCCCCCTTCCATTTGTTTTACAATTGTTTTGCTTCACATGTAGTGATAGCGTACCTTCCGAAATCATAAACTTTGTTTGAATCCCTTGGAATAAAACTATCTGGGTCACTGGTCTCCTATTCATTAATGTGACTAATTATATTTGACGTTTTTTAAATTATTTTTTTTAAATTGAATTTTTAAAGCGAAAGCTTTAACCACCAGTCTACCCAACCGCCCCTCCCTGCTACGATTAACTGACTAGAATAGCTTTTATTGTCAAAACGCAGCTCAGGTTGATAAATGAAGGCTATATAACCAGGGTAGACTGGAGAATGACTCTATGATGGTTCTCGGGATTGCAAATATAACCAGTTTATACAGCTCTCTCCCGTTGTAGATAGGTAGGTCCAAAGCACAAGGGAAGTAACTCCTTCGTTGTCATTTTTTCGTACGTCATATCCGGTTTCGTCATTATTACATCCCAGTCGCCGCCAAACTGCAACAAATATCAGTAGTTTATAATCATTAAAAAAGATAAAATACGTTTGCACTTAATACTGAGACTTTGTAATCGCAAACAATGTCGCTGATGACATCCACGAGTTTGCGTTCAAACCAGCGATAAGTGGACCTTGCTAGCTGAACTGAAGTAAAAGCTTAGCCCACTCGGCAACACAACTAGTCTGTCTCATAGTCCCTGATGCAGATTATTTCCCCTTCCGTCCAGCCCTTTCTGCAATGCTAAAGCCCTCAATGAAGTAAGTCTAGATTTCCTCAGGTCTGAATCTTCCATCCACTGGGGCAATCCAATAATTGATATTGTAAACAACTATGCAAAAGGTTGAAGGGGCATCGCCGAAGAATTAATAACAACAACAACAACAACAACAACAACAACAGCAGCAGCAATAAGATCGATAATATTGATAATAGGTTTTCAGAATTACGAAAAGTATGTTTGTCCACATTGTGAAATATAGCACTTTCCTACCTCCACAACCATGTTAGGTCATATAGTGATAAACAAAGAGATAAACAAAGAGATAAACACAGAGATAAACAAAGAGATAAACACAGAGATAAACAAAGGGATAAACAAAGAGATAAAGACAGAGAGAAACACAGAGCCAAACACAGAGACAAACACAGAGATAATCACAGAGATAAACAAAGATATAAACACAGAGATAAACACTGAGATAAACAAAGATATAAACACAGAGATAAACAAAGATATAAACAGAGATAAACACTGAGATAATCACAGAGATAAACAAAGAGATAAACACAGAGATAAACAAAGATATAAACACAGAGATAAACACTGAGATAAACAAAGATATAAACACAGAGATAAACAAAGATATAAACACAGAGATAAACAGAGATAAACACTGAGATAATCACAGAGATAAACAAAGAGATAAAGACAGAGAGAAACACAGAGCCAAACACAGAGACAAACACAGATAAACACTGAGATAATCACAGAGATAAACAAAGATATAAACACAGAGATAAACACTGAGATAAACAAAGACAAACAGAGATAAACACTGAGATAAACACAGAGATAAACACTGAGATAATCGCAGAGATAAACAGACAAACAACCAGAAAAACAAACGGAGAGACAAACAGAGACAAACAGAGATAAACACAGAGACAAACACAGAGACAAACACAGAGATAAACACAGAGACAAACACAGAGATAAAAACAGATAAACAAAGAGATAAACACAGAGACAAAAACTGAGATAAACACAGAGACGAACACTGAGATAATCACAGAGATAAACAAAGAGATAATCACAGAGACAAACACAGAGATAAACACTGAGATAATCACAGAGATAAACAAACAGATAAACACTGAGATAATCACAGAGGTAAACAAAGAGATAATCACAGAGATAAACACTGAGATAATCACAGAGGTAAACAAAGAGACAAAGGCAGAGATAAACAAAGAGATAAACACAGAGACAAACAAACACAGACAAACAAACACAGAGACAAAGAGACAAACAGAGATAAACACTGAGATAAACAAAGAGATAAACAAAGAGATAAACAAAGAGATAAACACAGAGACAAACACAGAGATAAACAAAGAGATAAACAAAGAGATAAACACAGAGACAAAAACAGAGATAAACAAAGAGATAAACACAGAGACAAACACTGAGATAAACAAAGAGATAAACAAAGAGATAAACACAGAGTCAAACACAGAGATAAACAAAGAGATAAACACAGAGACAAACACTGAGAGAAACACAGAGACAAACACAGAGATAAACACAGAGACAAACACTGAGATAAACAAAGAGATAAACACAGAGATAAACACAGAGACAAACACAGAGACAAACACTGAGACAAACAAAGAGATAAACACAGAGACAAACACAGAGACAAACACAGAGATAAACAAAGAGATAAACAGAGATAAAGAAGGGTCACCTCCATCAGAACCTGTCGGCATGCACCACATGGCACAATGGTCCTTTCCTTCAGATCACTGTTGATCAGACATGGATATGAATCGGGTTAATATCACGAACACACATTATTATAATGAGTCAAAAAAGAAACTTCACAAAATGTAATTTGAAAAATAATGAATAATTTTTCTCTGATGATACATCTATGTATCCGAAATGGGATCCCTATCTTTCGACTCTAGAAAAACGTTAGCAAAACCCACTCAAACCCATCCATTCGTCGTGCAAATGATGTTTGTGCCAAATCAGGTTTTGCACGTGCAGTCGATCACGTGATCTTCGCATCGACGTTTTCTTCATATGCACGTGTTTGCATTGGCCTCAAGAAGTGAAAAAACACTTTTAAACCACAGTTCTAACGGTACTTGAAATGCCACGATTGTCAAAAGTGCAACGTGAACGTGCCGTTGGCATGTTGCAAGCGGGAAGATCAGTTATTGACGTCGCAAGAGCAATGGGATGCAGCCGTCGTACTGTGTATGACTTGCGAGGTCGTCTACAACAAACTGGCACCACTTCTGATCGCCCAAGGTCGGGTCGTCCACGTGTGACGTCACGAGCAGAAGACCGTCAAATCGTCCTACGTCACCTACGTGACAGATTTCTGCCGGCTACACGAACCAGGGCTGAGATGTTAAGAGGTCGACTGTCCTCACAGACCATTCGAAATCGGTTGCGGGCTGCCAATCTCCATTCTCGACGTCCATATCGTGGGCCAATATTGACGCCGTTTCATCAACGTCAACGTCTGCTGTGGGCCCAACGTCACCTCCGATGGACCCAGAGAGACTGGAATCGAGTCGTCTTTAGCGATGAATCCAGGTTTACCCTCAGATTCGCGGACGCAAGGCATAGAGTATGGAGACGACGTCGTGAACGGTATGCCCAATGTTGTGTACAGGAAGTCGACAGATTCGGGGGCGGAAGTTGCATGGTGTGGGGTGCTTTCTGTGGGAACAACCGTTCCCGACTTCTGGTCATCCGTGGAAACCTCACAGCTGCTGCTTACCGTGTTCCTTTCATGGCGGCTCATGGCCCAGGTCTACAGTTCCAGCATGATAATGCTCGGCCGCATACCGCGATGTTGACACGAAATTTCCTTCAAAACGCTGGAATCAACGACATGGACTGGCCATTGAGGTCCCCTGACCTTAATCCAATAGAGCACGTCTGGGATGCACTTGGGGGAAGGCTTCGTGGTCTTAGGAACCAACCTCAGAATTTGCAGGAACTTGGCGCTGCTTTGCAAGAGCAATGTCGCAGAATCCCCAACCACGTGTTCACAAGCATCAGGCAGTCGATGAGGACACGGTGTTTGGCAGTGGTGAATGCGCAGGGCGGCCATACACGACATTGAACTGAGATATTTCGCATTTTTATTCTTGTGACTTGACATTCTGTATACCCATGTTTTGGAACGGCGGTGTAGCCTGTGTATGGCACTGTCAGTGTATCGAGTACATCACACAGATCTCAGCAATGGAATAATGACAATTTAACCATCTTACCATCTTCTTGTTCTTTTATAGTGCCCTGAAGAAAGAATGTGAAGTTTCTTTTTTGACTCAGTATATTTATAGATGACGATGTTTCAGGGCTACTTATTGTCTTTCATCAGATAATTTATTCATGATACGGTTTTATGATGAAGGGCAAGAAACATAGACAACAAAAGAAAAAAAACAACAAAAAGAAAACTAAACACACAACAATGTCATATATTATTGTTCTTAAAATATATACCAATTTTAATACCCATACATCAAATTAAAACATGAATGTTAAAACATTGTTAAATACTACTACTACTACTATACTACTCAATTTACTACTACTACTACTATTACTACTACTACTCAATTTACTACTACCACCACCACTACTACCACGTCTATTAATACTATCGCGACTACTACTACAACAATATGTAACTTACAAAACCAAGCAGTTTGTATTATGTTACATGTATGTGTCTCATTACACAGTCACTGTGCTATCCAAGATTTCAAAAAATCACTTTCACGCAATACATTTTCCAATTCTAGTTTCACAATGTTACCTTGCGACAGCTATGGCCTTGAACTTTTGATGACCTGCTGACACGGCCTTGACAATGGCTGTTCTCTCCGCACAAATCCCGAGGCTATATGATGCGTTTTCAACGTTACAACCTATACAGGCAAAGTAACATGACAAATTTCTAAACACAAAAAAAAATTAAAGAAAGACCCACTCGGTGGTCATGTTCCCTTTGTAAACTCCTAACTGGGCTCCGTCTTAAAATATCACATTATAAGCAAAAGAGATGGAAGATGAGTATGCGTGTGTGTGTCCGTGCGTGCGTGCGCCCGCGCGAGTGCTCATTCAGAGTGCTCATATCTACAGCATCCAGAGATTAATATAAATATTCCTCAAATTTCCCACTTTATATAGAGGACACGTTTTCATCCATGCAATGAAGTAGAACGTTTTCCGTTTTTACGTATGTGGGAGTCGGTTAAACGTGGGCCTAGTTGTGTTGCTGAATACTGAGGCTTAATGTTACTCACTCGTCGCTTTTGATAAAAGAAGTGCCCAAGAATACTTTTATGCGGCCCAATTCAGTCCGCATCCCAATGACTATGGCGTCAGAGTCCAAAAATTTCAAATTTCTTTTAAATTCATTGACTGGGTCGATTTCCGTAGCTCCGAACAGACGTTAAAGTATTCTCTTTTCAGGCTCGAAGTTACCTGATACAGGTACAAAACTTGGTGCCAATTCACGAAGTCCCTTGTCCTATTAGAAATGGAATACTCTCGAAAACTGTAGTAAACCAGACTTATTCCACTGTAAAGTAAGTGAGTGAGTGAGTGAGTGAATTTGGTCTAACGTAACGTTAAACGGCAACATCATGGCAGGGGACACCAGAAATGGCCCATTTGAGCGTTTGAAAGGAGTTGGTAAAATGACCATACGAGGCAAACTAGTCGCCGGCTTGTTCCACAATAAAATGAATGTTTCGACTGGCGAGACCAGGGTCCCTGTGTACCTTTTGTAAGGGCGATAACTCTGACCTACCTGTGAAAACAGTTCCATCAGCTGTTAGCAGCGCGGCCCCGACTGGGAACCTGCTGTACGGGCAGTACGCCATTTTCTTCATCTCATGACTCATCTTCACGAGCTGTTGAAGCTGTTCTGGAACAATACATGAACTGCTAGGGTAACAACCTGTCATTGGGGTACGCAGAGGTGTATCTCTTCTATTGAAACAGGATCCAGCTTAGCACAGTACCCGTCATTTTCTCGGTTATAGACTAACAAACCTGTCTAAAGTTTTGTTTGTTTGCTTGTTGAATAAATACGCACTCAGCAGTTTCCCAGCTGTACGACTGCAGTCTGTAAATAGCCAGACAATCGCATGACTGACATCTTGAGCACTGATATACCTAATTTGGACACGCTGACATGTGTCAACCAAGTCAGCGAGGCTGACCACCCTCTTGTCTTCAATTGGTTTATTCTACATATGAATTGAGCTGGATTGATAGTTATTGCTTCGAAATTGATAAAAAAAGGAAAAAAGAGATTGGTAGTTTGCTTCAGTTATTTTCCAGGCTATTTGTTATGATAGGCATGTACAAGATAAAGAAAGAACCATAAATGTCATAACTTGTGGCTCAAATTCAAGCAACGTACTATAATTACGGTAAAACACTAACTGTCCGGATTTTAATGAGACCAGCCGTGACAGACACCCCACTTGACATTTAGCACTGTGCAACGCATGCATTTGTTACAACATTGGGTTTTACGATAAACACGTTTTTAATTAATATACATTGTGCTCATGCTTACAAATGGTCCTGTACACTGTACACACATGAAATGGAGTTCCTATTGACAGTGAATGTTTTTGTCTTCGGCGACCATTTCTCGGATGGTTAAACGGGAAAATACCGAAAAAAACTTTAACATAAAAAATAAGTACACATGAAAGATATACGCTGCAATTTCCACATCTTCTTGAGCCAAGTGTCACCTCGACCCAGTGAGTGGGTTGAACAGTTTACCTGAGTAATATCGTGGCAAGACAACGAATCTAGGATAAAACTCATAGGGCTACAGCGACAGTAGAAGGTAACCAACATGGGTTTGGGTTTCATGCTGACAGGCTCCAATTAATCCTGTTCGGAACAAACATTGGATACGAACCCACGATGTCTTCTCTTACAGCCACCATGGGTTGCTAAGGGCCAATATTTGGGGGACAGAATTCCAACAGGGGTTAAGGTCACATCAAATGATGCAAATGTTTGAATATTGGTTTTACGCTGTCTGCTTATTATACCGTGACATGGGGCAGTGGGGTAGCCTAGTGGTTAAAGCGTTCGCTCGTCCCGCAGAAGACCCGGGTTCCGATTCCCCACATGGGTACAATGTGTGAAGCCCATTTCTGGTGTCTCCCGGGATACAGTGGTATTTCTGTGTAAACGACCGTTTTTCTATCAGCTTGGCTCAAGCGTATTATAGCTTGGATCTGTCTTTACATGTCGCAAGATGTCGTATCGCACATTGTGTCGGGAACCAGACCAAAATCGGGCGGCTTGACCGTCGCTTACGTCATTTCAAAAGGAGAATTATCGCCCTTGAGGAACAAAGATCGCTCATTCGAGTGCACTCGGAACAACTAATATAGACTGCTGCTGAGTATGCCTCAGTTCAAGAACCACATTTTCTTTTTCTTTCCACCAAGCCCTTCTGCAATTCAAAAGCCCAACATGAAGCAAGGCAAGTGTTTACCCAGGATCTGAATCTCGCATCTCACTGGGGCCCCATTTCAATTTACATGGAGATATTTTGTTCTATGAAAATTTAAAATTTCCGTGAATAGGCGTTAGTCAAACCGGCGCCTTCCGCAGGGATGACACAGAGTACAAGTGTCCTTGAACTAAAATGCACGTGACCGTCCAAGTAGCTTGACTGTCACATGCATTTTAATACGCTTTGATACAGGCCAAACTGAAAAAATTCAAACCTCATCAGCTAGGATTGTTACGGTACTCGCTGCACAAGCCACATTTCAACTGTTCTCAAATCACTGAACTGACAACCTGTCAAACAACGCGGACACAATTGTTTTCTTGCCCATAACAGTGACCGTAATATCTGCCCTGACTCAAAACATCACAATGTGTGAAGCCAATTTCTGGTGTCCCCGGCCGTGATATTGCTGGAATATGTATAGCTAAAAGCAGCGTAAAACTAAACTCACTCACTCATAACATCTGGTCCGTGAACACAAACCTTGTCGTTATATTATTTAAATTTTGTGAACCAGATCTACATTCTACTGACATAATTAGCAACATAGCAATGGGTGTCTTAACCATCTCAGCTTCAGATCCTAATCTCTGGAACAATCTTCATCAGTTACGACACCATCTACATGGCTTCAGTACTAGTTTAAGACGTCGTTAAAACCCATCTGTTCCACAAAATGTTTGACACCGTTCTCTAACTTCCGAATGTATCTTATATATTACAAAGCCAGTGAGCACATATTCATGTCCATGGGATACTATATACATTCATTATCATTACGACGAGAGTGAAAGTAATCCAAAGGCCTTTAGCTTTCATTGGAAAACACACCATTTGAGTAATTGTATGTGTTGTAACTCGGAAACAAAGCCCCATGAACCAAATTATTTAAAACAGAGGCCTAACGTTTTGTTACCGTCTCTCAAAACTGGGTTCCAGTCTTAAACTGACCTCATTTCTTGTATCTCTTACTGGGAGATAAGAGGGTGTTTGTCTCATACAAGTAAAATACATGTTAAAAAGCCGTTCGTTATCGCAGTGTATGGTCGACTTTGGGCGGAGTGTCCCAATATCATGTCACAATGACATGTTATTTAACCATGTCTCTCCGGGCTGCAATTGATCCATCTTTTTATGTACCAGGGTGCTTCAACACAGATCGACACGTGATAGACCTAAGATCGTTTTGAGAAAAACACAATTTTCATTTTGATGTTGTAGGCGACATTTGATAATGAACTTTCGTCACATGATTTCCAGTGGGATAAACTCAGACTTGTGACTGAAGTAGTGGGGTAATTGCAGTTGGCATTTAGTAAATACGTATGTATATGTTTGAATAAATTGTAGTTGTAGTACAGTGCAAATTGTCAGGTCCAAACACCGTTGGACCGCCTCCGTGGTGTAGTGGTTAGAGCGTCCGCCCGGAGAGCGGAAGGTCGCGGGTTCGATACCCGACCGCGTCATACCAAAAGACGTTAAAATATGGTACTTTTTGGTCCCTGCCTGGCGCTCGGCATTAATTTGGGTACAACCAGGACTGGTCGGCTCGGAGTCAGTATAATGTGTCTGAGTGGGGTATTCATGCTTCACTGCGGCATGGTATCTCAGTGGGCTAGCACTATAAAACCAGCTTCAGTCTGGGCTAGTACAAGCAGCTGCACAGACACATACACATGCATGCACGTCATCATATGAGCGACATATTCTCAATCAGGACGTTAAACCCTATTTCACCTCACCTCAAACACCGTTGTAGCGAGGTTGAAGGGACCTACGTAAATTCTTCGAGTCATGCGACGTTCGACACTTCAAAGATCGACTGAAGGTGTATGTTGATTGGCTGGTTTGTCGTTTAACGCCGCTTAAGGGCTTATTGGGCTTAAAAAGATTATATTTAATCATCATCATAAACATGGTTTGTCGGTATTCGATACTTAAAACTATTAAACGCGGTGGCATCTATAGTTATTGTTTCAGAAAGGCTTTCATACTTTCTCAATATGTTAAAACGACAGACAGTATCAAAAGGGTCACTGTCAGAAGCCATGACGTCATTCATTGAAGATTGTACGAGCGCTTCCAGTGGTGACGATATCGCACTCTTGTATTGATTTGTGTGTTTGTTTCAATCTATCCATATAGAGCGTATACCAGGAGAGGGGAAGACTTGATAAATTGATTGATTGATTATCAGCATGTGCATCGATCTACGCAATAGGGAACCGATGACATGTGTCAACCAAGTCAGCGAGCCTGACCACCCGATCCGTTAGTCGACTCTTACGACAAGCATGGGTAAGTGAAGATCAATTCTAATCCTGATTTTCACGGGTAGGAGAGGGAAAGGACGATGGTTCAAACATCCATAAAATTATATATCAGTATAAAGTGCAAAGCTATCTGAAGAACATCTTACTAAATATACTAGGGACTATCTTTGTTTAGATATGTTACAGTACGTCTTTGACGCGATGGAACCAATGTCACCAGGTTGCCATTGTACTTTATTCAGACCGGCCTCATTATCTTAACAGACGTGAATAATTTCTCGCTGATAACTACTATGATACTATGATGGGCGCAGTCACATGCTTGACTGTTTGAAATATCAAGTGAAGGCTACTTGAACATGGTGTGTCTGTCTCTCGTTTAACTCCGCACTCAGCAATATTCCGGATATATGGCGGCGGTCTGTAAATAATATTCCTGTTATTTGGACACCTTTACTATCAGTGTACAGAACACGTGGAGTTCGTCTAACTCACCTCTGTAACACCCTGGATAGCGTTGGTTGGTTGGGTTGGTTGTTTAACTCAGCTCTTAGCAATATTCCAGCTATATGGCGGCAGTCTGTATAAAACCGAGTCTGGACCAGACAATCCATGATTGACACCATGAGCATGGGCTTCACACACATTGTACCCATATGAGAATCGAACCCGGGTCTATGGCGTGATGAGCGAACGCTTCAACCACTTGGCTACTAAGTTGGGTTAAGAGTGAGGTGTGTTAAGTTTTACGCCGCTCTTAGCAATATACACCCCACCTCTCCCCTCGCCTCTCAAAGAAGTTAATAGGACATAACTGTGTCTCTAACATATAAGATCTGACCGTATAAGCAATGTTGGGGTGCCGATAACCATGCAGTACTTCTGTAACACGGTGACTGGTGAGCACACATTTTGCATGACAACAGCCGCTACATCCTCGCCTCCATGTAGCTGCAGTTCTTGCGGAAGTACGCCTGTGCGCGGTGTCTATGCAAACTGTTAATGTCAAGGAGACCTGGCTTCGGGACATGGACTGGGTTGACTTACATATAATACATGACCTACATATAATGACCCATATTCATTTTTGGAACAAATTAAAGATAGCAATACTTGCACAAGCATTCGTATTCCACTTAATTATGCTTTAGGTTTTTTTTAATAACTTTATTCACAGAAATAAAGATTAATAAATGGTGTGTTCGATGAACACGACCGGGCTCGCTAAACCCACTGAATGCACATCGTTAAATATTTGTGATTATAATTTCAAGGATTTGTTTCTGATTTCAATCCAAATACCAAACAGCAGCCAAACTGGGAAAATTATTATTATGTTAAAAATAATTTATTCCGATGTTGTTTCATAAATTCTTGGAAATGAAAACAAAACCCGTAATTAAAAAATGCGACATTTTAGTGCAATTTGCAGCAGATTTGGGGCCAAAATAACAACTCTCTGAAAAGGTCTAAATACATCACCGAGTGTACTGCGCCAAACAGAAAGTTAACAGTAAATGGAATTTAGCCATAGATTTCGTCAAGTACGAATGGTTTAGTATCAACATGTTCTGTCAGAGACCATATGTCTCTGGTTCCACTAGGCTTACCGTAACTGTATCCGGGCATGGTTGAGTCTGTACCGTGTGTGGCTGTTTTGTCGACGATAACTACTCCCTTTCGACTGAGTACAAACAGTCACTGGCTGTCAAGTATTACACTCAACGGGGAGTATAACGAGTATTTTATTCACGTTTGTGTGAGTACACATCACATGGTCGCCATGCTGTTCGCTACTAGTGCGCAAGCGTGCTCGGGGAGTCCTCCTTAACAGCTCCGCAGACCATTAATTTAGCTATCCTGCCACTGCTGTCCCGATACATGACACTGGCATGGGCTAACTTTTGAGCTAACACTCTGAGCCAGATAATCCAGTGATCAACAGCATGAGCATCGATCTACGCAAATGGGATACGATGACATGTGTCAACCATGTCAGCGAGCCTGACCACCCAGTCCGTTAGTCGCCTCTTACGACAAGAATTGGTTGCTGAAGATCAATTCTCACCCGGATCTTCACGGGTCATATTGCCATGGCATTTCGTATGTCGGAAACCAGTGTCAGTCTCGGAAACAGCGCATCCGTGAAATATTCTAAATACTTTCCGTTTGTTATTCTCCATGAATCTTATTTTACCACATAGTTTTCATACTAACATTGTAATGAAATCGAGATACGCTTATATCTGCAGTAGACTGGTATCCTTTTGTTTGTTTGTTTGTTGTTTAACGCCGCACTCAGCAATATTCCAGCTATATTGCAGCAGTCTGTAAATAATCGAATCTGGACAAGACAATCCAGTGATCAACAGCATGAGCACCGATCGACGCAATTGGGAACCGATGACATGTGTCAACCAAGTCAGCGAGCCTGACCACCCGATCCCGTTAGTCGCATTTTACGACAAGCATGGGTTGCTGAAGATCAGTTCTAACCCGGATTTTCACGGGTGGGTATCCTTAAACAGGCCTTTATCATAGATCTATAATTATTATCTATGCTTCTACTAATAATTAAGAAGCAATAACGTGAAAATATAACAACTGGTTTAATCTGTCCCTTCTGTCTGTCACCGAATCAGCAGGAACACCGTGAAGGGATGATTGTGGGTGTCGACCAGGACTTCAGTCCTGCCCACAACGAAGCACATCTGACACATGTGGTGTCACCTTAGACAAGTGAGTTTGTTATAAATTGCCTCTGTTTATCCAGCAGAAAATGGGTACCCGGTGGGATAAGTCATGTGGCTATTAACCTTCTGGGGCCTCACAGGCAGCTTGGGCTATCCAGGGTCATAATAATCGGCGTGTTTGAGCAACCGCAACGGATGGAAAATAGCGCATAACAATCGCCACACTGTTTTCACCTTCAGGTTGGATTTCTTCAGGTTGACTAGATTTAAAAACAATAGTGAGTTAGTGAGTTTAGTTTTACGCCGCTCTAAACAATATCCCGGCGGGAAATGGGCTTCACATATAGTACCCATGTGGGGATCAAACTCGGGCCTTCGGCGAGAGGAGCCAACGCTTTAACCACTAGACTACCCCACCGCCCCTTAATTACAATAAGAAAGTACACAAGAAATATTTGATGCGGGTCATCATCATTGCGGCAAAACAGCGGCATATTTTCTTTAATGGTGAACAAATAAAAAGTACAAAAAACGTTTTCCAAAAAGAAAGTTTAATCAACAAAGATATATATAAACAACACCGGTCACCCTGTTTTAAACATTTTTGAAACCATGCAGTTTCATCCTCTATATACTGAATTTGATAAACAAGGCGTCTCCCGTTAATGAGGAGAAAAGCCTATTCAGGACAGTAGTCTTGGAAACAACTGTCACCTGCCATAATTGGGGTAAACTCTATATTCTGTTGTCACGAAAACAAACTTAGTCCCTGTGGATACCAGACTACGTTACTTGCGGTTGATTCGAACCTTTGATAACTCGAAGTATTTACGTAGCTCCCATTAACGTTGATACCTCCGTACATTGGTCAGAACCCTCACAGTAAAATACATACATACATACAAATATTTGTATAGTGCCGATATCCAGTACAACTGCTCAAAGGCGCTTTGTTTTCCCTCGATCATTGGATTTCCATCACATCGGCACATCGTATTTTCAATCTCAACTCCCTGGGGAGCATACAACTCCTACTAGGCGCACCGAGTTAATGTGGCTTTTCCATCCTTACGAGGTACCCATTCACAGCTGGGTGGACTGGGACACATAGTCACAGCACTTTGTCCAAGTTCACTGCACGTTGCTGTACCCGCAACTATAGGTGTTTGCACGTAATCATGTGTCCACCATCTGGTCATCTACCAACAGATTCGTGGGTTCTTTTAAGTGTTGTGACAACACTGAAAGAGTCTGCACACAAAGTTGACTCCAATGTTTTTTACACCTGGTCACAGGTGGGCTCGATCCCGGCACCTCCAAGCTCGCTAGATTACTAGCCGGGTGCCTTAGACAGCTCCCCCATGATTCCATACAGGAACGTTATCCTCTCCAGAACCCTCACATGAATAAATTATTCCATATTCCATGATACATGCATGCTTTTTTATGTTACAGTAGAGTTATGGGGGCAAAGATCACTTCATTACAAGAAGCAATATCTCATGATTTTTGCTTTTTTTCAAATTCACTTTGCTGCTTGTCTCGAAACATGGATAATTCGATTTTAAGGCTGTTCCTGTCAGTATGACGGTTGTGGTGTTGCTGAAATATTGCCTCTGTCAGCGTAAAACATAATAAAAGCTCGACCCAGATAAACTTTCTAATCATCCAGTCAGCGTGGCTTCATAATTCTCTCCGAGTGAACAGAACATTCAGACAAGCTTATTATATTTTCCGTATCTCGAACATTATCGGATAATTCCGAATGCCGGAATATATTATTTTGGTTGTCGACAGCTTATACATTCGGTCGTTCCTGAGCCGGATGTAGTTTAATCCAAAAGGGTGTACTAGAGTGCTAGAGTGTGTTCTATGACGTTGTCTTTAGCAAAGATGGAATTTTAGGAAACAAAATGACCAAGACATTGAAAAGGATCCGCTATTAATTCATATTTACCAATGTTCACACAGGTTTCTTTCAAGGACAGGTCAGGTAATGCTTCATGACTGAGACTCAATGAGAGAGTGAGTGGGTGAAGGAGCTTAGTTTGACGCCGCTTTCCGCAATATTCTAGAAATATCACTGCAGGGAACACCACAAATGGACTTCACTCATTATACCCATATTAGGAATAGAACCTTGTCCTCAGTGTGACGAGCGAGCGCTTTCACGACTATCCCACCGTCCGCGACTGAATGATAAGCGTATGATGCAACTATAGTGAAGAGTACAAAAATGAAATATACTATATATTATAATATATGACTCCATGTTGCTTCCCGGAGGTCAGAAGGTCACAGAGCTTGGAATAAACTGTTATTTAAGAAGGACCTGCTGTGTTTCTCGCCGGTAATCTCTCTCGCTGAAGGTCGGCAGGAACAAACGCCAAGGGAACTAACTCCTTGACTTTCATTAATTTGTACGTCATATCCGGTTTCGTCATATACATATCCCAGTCCACACCAAACTGAAACAAATACACATAGTTTATCGTCTGAGAAGTAATAATAGTAGCTTTGGCAAACAATGATAATAGAAACAAAAAACAATAATAATAATAATGATATATCGCAAAGGTGAATTAGTGTTTAAATGTTGTTGCTTTCTTTGTACCCTCATCCTACCCTACCCGTGAAGGTCCGGGTTAGAATGTGCCTTCAGTAACCCATGCTTGTCGTAAGAGGCGACTAACGGGATCGGGTGGTCAGGCTCGCTGACTTGGTTGACATATGTCATCGGTTCCCAATTGCGCAGATCGATGCCCATGCTGTTGATCACTGGATTGTCTGGCCCAGACTCGATTATTTACAGACCGCCGCCATATAGCTGGAATATTGCTGAGTGCGGCGTAAAACTAAACTCACTCACTCATCCTACCCTAAATGATAACATCCCGATAAACCTAACACTTCCTTCAACTGCAATGGCGGACAAAACTCGGTTTAAACTTTTCAATAAATATCTAACTCATATCCACATTATTATTTTCACAAATATCTTATCATGTGGAATCCACGGTTCGGCAAAACGGCCGAGTGCAAGTGAATGAGTGAGTGAGTTTAGTTTTACGTCGCACTCAGCAATATTCCAGCTATATGACGGCGGTCTGTAAATAATCATGTCTGGACCAGACAATCCAGTGATCAACAACATGAGCATCGATCTACGCAATTGGGATACGATGACATGTGACAACCAATGTTCGAGCCCAGCCTTTCGCTAGTCGCCTCTTACGATAAGCATGGGTTACGGAAGATCAATTCTAACCCGGATCTCCACGGGTCCGAGTGCAAGACTCATGTGAAATGACACCAATACAAATAACGCTCACCTCGACCAGAGACTGTCGACACAGACCACAAGGCACAATCATTTCTTTCATGTCGCTGTAAACGAGACATGGATTAGGTTAATATATAATATTAAAGGTCACATGCAACGTAAAACACAACTTTGCAGATTCTGATACCTTTCGGTATGGACTTACGAAACAAATCATCAAAAATGCAAATTCAACTTATAAAGTTGAAAAATAACGCGATGAAAAAACCCGCGCGAAATCGGAGTTCAAACGATTCACTAATTTTCCCCCGACTTTTCGGTGAAGGCTTTGGTGTGGCTTTGGTGAAGGCTTTGGTGTGAGCTATTTTCCTAATGTTTTGTTGATATCTCACAGGCGCGAGCTTTTTATATGTTATGACAGTAAATAAACTGTTTATATAATTTCATTTGTCTATTTCACCACACGTTCTTCTTACCGAGTCACTTTCTCAGTTCGATACTTAAAAGCAATGTCATTATTTAGCGTTGACACAATTTCTAACTGTGATATAGATATGTCGTTGTCACAGACAAAACTCAATGTCTTGTTGTATTGACACCTGTGTGTCTGCCTGCCTGTCTGCTAATGACAATATTCAATACACAACTGCGATCACTGACCACATGCAATTTGAACTTAACACCAATCAGGCTATACACCATAAACAAAACGCATTGATTTATGGCCCGAGTTCGGTCTCTGTCACATTATGTAATTACATAGACAGGCACGTGTGATACTTGAACACATGACTTGTTATGATGTCTGTTGATTGCAAAATGTTATACACAAAAAATGAGCATGTATTTACAAAACCCAATATCTCTATATATACTCACACAATGAGCCGTGAAGGCATCTGCAAATGAACCAGCCGTTACACTTGAGTGCACACCCACCCGCTCTGACTGGGTTCGGTATGCCGGCTGCTTCGTTTCTTGGGACGTAAACCCAAGTACACAATATTGCACTTTTGATTTGCCATTGTACGCTTATAATTTTGTTTATGTGTTTTTTCATAACCAGCAATGTATATTATATGTCATGAATAAGTGATAATTGTGTTTTAATTATGTTTGATTTTTTGGTTGCATGTGACCTTTAACCTTCATCGCCACTTCTTTCTTTCAAATTATGAAATTATGTTAATTTTTTTTAGTAGTTTGTCATTTAAACAAGAAAATCACTCGTTATTAAAAAGACGACATTTATTTCCACACCACAATGCTAATTGTGTTTTGTTTCTAACTGTTGTATTCGGTAATATCACAGTTAAATCACGACAGCCTGTAAATAATCCAGTCTGGACAGATACGCCTGTGGTTGAATTTACAATCAACCATCCACGCCATCAACCAAACCAGAACGGTTGACCACTCTATCCATGCAGTCACTTCCTCAGTACAGGGCACCGGCCATTCTAAACCAGAAACCGCAGTGGTTTCGCTGCAGATGAGAGTTTGGGTTCGGTTTTAGCAATATTCCAGCAATATCACCCGGAAATGCTCTTCACATATTGTACCCATATGGGGAATCGAACCCGGGTGTTCGGCGTGACGAGCGAACACTTTAACCACTAGGCTACCCCACCGTCGCTGTATAGACGAGGCATCCGGTCCTCTGTTGTCTTTGTGAGCTGCTGAGTACCAAGCTAAATACCTATATATACCAGCCACATAAAGAAACTGTGCATTGTCAAAATATTATCCCAAGTGATAAGTACGATAACAATGTCAAAGGTACATATAGACTTTAATGGAGGGATCATGAGACCATAACAAGTCGGAAGAATTTCAACTGAAGCGGGACAGGGGTCAAACGACCATGTAAAAAGCTCAATAACGGGTATGTCCACCATCGGCATTGAGAACAGCAGTGCATCGACGACGCATAGAGCCTATCAAACGTGCAAGGAAGGTTTGTGGGATGTCACGCCAGATTCTCTCAAGTTCTGAGGCAAGGTCAAGGACGTTATCTGGCGGATGAGGAAGACGGCGTAGACGTCGTTCCATTTCGTCCCAAACATGCTCTATCAGGGAGAGATCCGGTGAATTTGCAGGCCAAGGCAGTAAGTCAACGTTGTGGTGTTGCAAGAAATTCATAGCAACCCTTGCCGTATGAGGGCGGGCATTGTCCTGTTGGAATGTTAACCCAGGGCCATGACATTGCAGAAAAGGAATTGCCACAGGTCGAAGAATCTGATCCCTGTAGCCCACACCAGTTAAGTTGCCCTGAACAATAACCAAAGGAGTTCTTTGGTGTGCTGTTATTCCACCCCAAATCATCACGGAACCACCACCAAAGCAATTCCTCTCCAAGACACAGGCCTGTGCATAACATTCTCCCACGCGTCTATAGGCACGTTGACGTCCATCACTATTGGAAATGTTAAACCTGGACTCATCTGTAAAAACAACATTTCTCCACCAAACCAAGGGTCTGCGGACATGATTTCGGCACCACATTCGGCGAGCTTGTCGATGGCGTTGAGTCAGGATAGGCCGTATGGCGGGACGTCGTGGTCTGATCCCGTGATGACGTAAACGTTGTCGAACTGTGTTGGGGTGGATACGGCGAAGTCCTGGGATGGTTCGGGCAGTCAACATTGCAGTCTTAAACCTGTGAGGAAGATGGGTCACCCTTATCCATATGCCCTGTCTTGGCGTTGTTACACGTGGACGTCCAGAACGTGGCCGATCGATGACGTCATTTGTGTTCTGGTAGCGTCTCAGCAGTGCAGAAATGGTGTTCCGGTGGCAGTGGAAATGTGCAGCCACTTGTCGTTGAGACATTCCCCCACGGACCATCCCAATGGCCTCATGACGTTGTGCAGGCGTGAGCCTTGGCATGCTATGCGTTTCAATAGCCGTTTAATTTTTTGAACGATCGCAAGGGCAGGGGTTGAGCTTTCCAAAGTGACAGTATTGTGTGGCATTCATTTGCTCTGTTTCTCTTTCCCGGAATGCACGTGCAACAACGTATTGCACGTCTCAAGGACGAACCCACTGACGTCACGGAACGTGGCACGTGCATGCATGTTGGACTCAATGATACATGTCACTAATCTCTGAGTTTAAATCCTTATGTGTCTGCACAGGTTTGATAAATTTAGATTTTAATTTTTTGTATGCACAGTTTCTTTATGTGCCTAGTATATAATTATGAACTTCTTCTACTTTGTGTGGATGTGTCCCAGTGCTAGCTGTGCTTACTTCGATGTCAAATAATCGCCGTTTTAGGGAAACTAGTTTCCAGTTTCAATACAGACTGCTAACGTTACCTTGCAATGGCAATGGCTGTGAACTTCCGGTGACCTTCTGATACGGCCTTGACAATGGCTGTCCTCTCGGCGCAAATCGTCAGGCCATATGAGGCATTTTCAACATTACAACCTGCACACACAAAAATAACATGACATCATACTGAACCCAACATGCGTAATATGATCTTAAATAAGGCACGATTAATATTTTCTTGGTGTTCACGTTCCCCCAACATGTCAACTGGGCTCCGTCTTTAAATGTCTCATTACTACTGTAGCGCAGAGAGAGCCAGGAACCGGTGTAAAATAATAATGTAAACATACTGCGCAAAGGCAGACTGGGACCCCTTGTAATGATTCGCCACAACTTGTGGTAGAAATTAAATGAAATATTCAGGCATAATGTTTATCACAAACATAATATTCCTCAAATGTATAATTCAGAGAACTCAAAGGTTTCCAGTTCGCATTGACGCTGCATGTTCAACGTGTGTCCAGTTGTGTGGGGGAATAAAAACGAATAGTTCCTCTCAAAACACAAAAGTGTCCGAGGCTTCTTTGGCCGCCCAGTCCAATCCGCATTCTGGAAGGTTTAGTGTAGCTCAGTACATGTTATGTCGATTTAGTAAGGTAACCATATTCTTATCAAAATGTATATGACACAGGCCACAGAATGCACAATTTTAAACTCCATGGGATTCATAAGCATACATCTTAAATTTCGAGGATCAGTTTCCGTTGTGTCTTGTCAGGTCGTGTTCACTCGACAGTCTTGATTTGACTCCTCGTATAGCAACAGTGCTGGTCATTTATGCCCTCATTAACGTTCTAATAATAGAATATCGCCGCAAAGCCGATGGGCGATGCGATGTCTTAGGAAGGGCGATAACTCTGACCTACCTGTGAACACTTTACCGTCAGCTGTTAGCAGCGCGGCCCCGACTGGGAACTTGCTGTACGGACAGTACGCCATTTTTTTCATCTCATGGCTCGTCTTCAAGAGCTGTTGAAGTTGTTCTGGAACAATTCACGGTACAGGGGCTGTTACGCTCATGAAATCTGGTGACGTGGGTATTCACAATTCTTCTCTTCAGCTTAAACATCTACGGTAACCGTACCAAGCTCTCTCTAGTCTATGAACATTTTTTATTTGTCATGCTGCTGCATTGAGCTACGAGTTGTTCGGCGGTGTATTCTTAACATGTTCCCAATGTTTATACGCTGTTGTTGCTGCAATACACGCGTGATAGCGGCCATGTGACGTTGATAGTTGCTTGGGTACGTGTCACCTGGTGTGAGTGAGTGAGTGTGTGAGTTTGGGTTTGGGTGAGTGAGGGAGTTTGGGTGAGTGAGTGAGTGGGTGATAGTGAGTGAGTGAATGATAGAGTGAGAGTGAGTGAATGATAGAGTTAGAGTGAGTGAGTGCTCTCTCTAGTCTATGAACATTTTTGATTTTGTCATGCTGCTGCATTGAGCTACGAGGTGTTCGGCGGTGTATTCTTAACATGTTCCCAATGTTAATACGCTGTTGTTGCTGCAATACACGCGTGATAGCGGCCATGTGACGTTGATAGTTGCTTGGGTACGTGTCACCTGGTGTGAGTGAGTGTGTGAGTTTGGGTTTGGGTGAGTGAGGGGGTTTGGGTGAGTGAGTGAGTGGGTGATAGTGAGTGAGTGAATGAGTGTGTGGTTATGAGTGAGTGAGTGAGTGAGTGTGGGTTTGGGTGAGTGAGGGGGTTTGGGTGAGTGAGTGAGTGGGTGATAGTGAGTGAGTGAATACGTGTGTGGTTATGAGTGAGTGAGTGTGTGAGTTTGGGTGAGTGAGTGGGTTATGAGTGAGTGAGTGAGCGGGATTGGGTGAGTGAGTGGGTCGGGTGGGTTTATAAGAGTAAGAGTATATAAGTATAAGGGTGATAGAGTGAGTGAGAGTGGGTGATAGAGTGAGTGAGAGTGAATGATAGAGTGAGAGTGAGTGAATGATAGAGTTAGAGTGAGTGAGTGAGTGGGTATGGGTGAGTGCTCTCTCTAGTCTATGAACATTTTTGATTTTGTCATGCTGCTGCATTGAGCTACGAGGTGTTCGGCGGTGTATTCTTAACATGTTCCCAATGTTTATAGGCTGTTGTTGCTGCAATACACGCGTGATAGCGGCCATGTGACGTTGATAGTTGCTTGGGTACGTGTCACCTGGTGTGAGTGAGTGAGTGTGTGAGTTTGGGTTTGGGTGAGTGAGGGAGTTTGGGTGGAGTGAGTGGAGTGGGTGATGAGTGAGTGAGTGAATGAGTGTGTGGGTTATGGAGTGAGTGAGTGAGTGTGAGTTTGGGTTTGGGTGATTGGAGGGAGTTTGGGTGAGTGAGTGAGTGGGTGGTGGTGTGAGTGAGTGAGTGAGTGAGTGGTTATGAAGGAGTGGGTGAGTGAGTGTGGGTTTGGGGTGAGCTGAGGTCGGGTGGGGTGAGTGTGAGTGAGTGTGTGGAGTGAATGAGTGAGGAGTGGTGGAGTGTGGAGCAGTGTGGAGTTTGGGTTTGGGTGGAGTGAGGGGTTTGGGGTGAGTGGTGAGTGGGTGATAGTGAGTGAGTGAATACGTGTGTGGTTATGAGTGAGTGAGTGTGTGGAGTTTGGGTGAGTGAGTGGGTTATGGTTAGTGAGTGAGCGGGATTGGGTGAGTGAGTGGGTCGGGTGGGTTTTATAAGAGTAAGAGTATATAAGTATAAGGGTGATAGAGTGAGTGAGAGTGGGTGATAGAGTGAGTGAGAGTGAATGATAGAGTGAGAGTGAGTGAATGATAGAGTTAGAGTGAGTGAGTGAGTGGGTATGGGTGAGTGCTCTCTCTAGTCTATGAACATTTTTGATTTTGTCATGCTGCTGCATTGAGCTACGAGGTGTTCGGCGGTGTATTCTTAACATGTTCCCAATGTTTATAGGCTGTTGTTGCTGCAATACACGCGTGATAGCGGCCATGTGACGTTGATAGTTGCTTGGGTACGTGTCACCTGTGAGTGAGTGTGTGAGTTTGGGTTTGGGTGAGTGAGGGAGTTTGGGTGAGTGAGTGAGTGGGTGATAGTGAGTGAGTGAATGAGTGTGTGATTATGAGTGAGTGAGTGAGTGTGTGAGTTTGGGTTTGGGTGATTGAGGGAGTTTGGGTGAGTGAGTGAGTGGGTGGTAGTGAGTGAGTGAGTGAGTGTGTGGTTATGAGTGAGTGAGTGAGTGAGTGTGGGTTTGGGTGAGTGAGGGGTTTGGGTGAGTGAGTGAGTGGGTGATAGTGAGTGAGTGAATGAGTGTGGTTATGAGTGAGTGAGTGAGTGTGTGAGTTTGGGTTTGGGTGATTGAGGGAGTTTGGGTGAGTGAGTGAGTGGGTGATAGTGAGTGAATGAGTGTGTGGTTATGAGTGAGTGAGTGAGTGAGTGTGGGTTTGGGTGAGTGAGGGGGTTTGGGTGAGTGAGTGAGTGGGTGATAGTGAGTGAGTGAATGAGTGTGTGGTTATGAGTGAGTGAGTGAGTTTGTGAGTTTGGGTTTGGGTGAGTGAGGGGGTTTGGGTGAGTGAGTGAGTGGGTGATAGTGAGTGAGTGAATACGTGTGTGGTTATGAGTGAGTGAGTGTGTGAGTTTGGGTGAGTGAGTGGGTTATGAGTGAGTGAGTGAGCGGGTCGGGTGGGTTTATAAGAGTAAGAGTATATAAGTATAAGGGTGATAGAGTGAGTGAGAGTTGGTGATAGAGTGAGTGAGAGTGAATGATAGAGTGAGAGTGAGTGAATGATAGAGTGAGAGTGAGTGGGTATGGGTGAGTGAGTGGGTTATGAGTGAGTGGGTTTGGGTGAGTGAGTGAGTGGGTCGGGTGGGTTTATAAGAGTGAGTGAGTGAGAGTGAATGTATCATCAGCGTCTGTCTCATCCAGAATAAAGCCCAAAGCGGCACAGACACGAACAATTACTAACCCGGACATCGGTATGGTACTGTCAGATTTTCAACCGAACTCATATCGGATCCTGACACAAAATTAAACATAAAACGAGCTCAAAGGACCACTAATTTTAGTTCGTTGTAACTGTAGTTTAGTCCGACAAAAATATACAGCAATGGTCCGAGAACAAAATGTTCGTTATATCCGGCAGTTGGTTATTAGCTTGATTGGGTGGTGTGTAACCTGGCTAAATCAAGTTTTGTCCGGTGTTCTGTTTCTTTACAGAAAATTGTGTTTTCAACCAACCGATTCATTACATTGCCATATACGGCCATCATTGGTGCTTTAGACCCACAATCTCAATGGACTTAAAGGCACTATTTCACACCACACTTCTCTGAAAATAAATAATGCATTTCTCTCAATAACACTAACTATCAGCCCTCAGGGAAGCTACATATAATTTATTAAAAACACATTACGTTATTATATTACAAAAATGAATATTAAATTATAAAGTTTGAATGAATTAATACAACGTTGCATTAAATCGACTATCGTGCCCTCTACCGGCCGAACATTAGTTCAAGCCAACCCCATAGAGTTATGTCCCTTGGAGCGCTCTTTACGAATATCCTATAACTTCTTTGGAGACAGAATTCAGTCCTAAACAAAAACATACGTGCAAAAAAAACCTTGTGATTGAAATCAGTTCGGTAAATACCGACAACACCGCGTGCGACAGTTTTCGATGTACGGAGCAGTTGTTTACATTCCTTATATGGGGGATGGCCTAAAAGTCGGGCCGGGCCGGGCCGGGCCAGGGCGGGCCAAATCTATTATTGGCTAATAAACCCATCAACGAACACCATGCCTACAATTAATCAATGCAACATACACTCATGCTAATAATGATCAATCGGAAGCCACAAACGCGTACCATAATAACTTTATTACGAGTAAATCGGCTAAAACCAAGGAAGACGAGAAGCCTGTGAACTGGCTGACCGAGGTTATGTCTAAAAGTGGAATCATTAAACGAAACGGGATTTAAAACGTATAAATACTTCAGCCAATTCGATACACATTTCCGTCGGCCCGAAAATGTTTTAACATCTATATCCAATCACATACCACCCCATAAATTCACTATTCATCGTATTTAAAGCATGACCACATTTAAATGATACGATCTCTTCTCTACACTCTCAACATTATCTCGGCCACAATTTTCCGCCCGGCTTGGCTCGAGCCGTGAAAAGCAAACTTAAACGTAACACGTATCTTGAATTGTGTTTTAAATCCATAGACTGGTATTATATCTACCTGAATATCGCTTTGTAATGTTATAAAATGCAACATGTAAAGAAAACTGCTCCGTTAAAGTGAAGCCCTTGTCTCTCCCCAAACACAACATAGCCTCAATCAAAAGTGTTTAGTCTCTGTTCAGCCCGACTTGGCCCGTGCTGTCAAAAACAACCTAAACCTCACACATGTATCTGGAAATGCGTTTATATCCATAGATTAGTATAATATCTACCTAAAAACGTATTTATAGAGTCTCAAAGCGTAGTATTTGAAGCAAACACCTTGCTCAAAGTGAAGCCCTATTTTTTCTATACATTCTCAACAAAGACACAGTATCACAAGCTTTCGGTCCGGCTTGGCCCGGGCGCTCAAACGCACCTTATACCTCACAGATGTATCTTGAAATGTGTTTTAAATCCATAGATTAGTATTATATCTACCTAAATATCAATGTGTGATGTTGCAAAATGCCACATGTGAGAGATAACTGCCCCGTTAAAGTGAAGCCCTTTCTCTCTCCATTCACAATATAGTCTCATTCTTAAGTGTTTAGTCTCTGTTCAGCAAAACACCTTAAACCTCACACATGTATCTTGAAATGTGTTTAAATCCATAGATTAGTATTATATCTACCAAAATTTCATTAGCATTTGGAGTAAGCTAGGCGAGACACTGTGGATTTAATGGAAACATACTTCTCCCACTGCTCTCTCTGATACTTCTATTGTCTGTATGCGTGTTCAGGAAAACAGGATTATCTGAAGCGCTTGAAGTTTACAACATCCGGAAACGGCATCTCCGAGTAACCTTTG